CTTTTAAAGTAGGTGACTATGTATACTTGAGAGTATCACCCATGAAAGGTGTGAAGAGATTTGGGATGAAAAAGAAGCTTTCACCAAGATATGTAGGGCCATACAAAATTTTGGAACGAAAAGGAAATGTTGCATATAAGCTACAACTACCACCAGAGATGAGTGCAATCTTTGATGTGTTCCATGTTTCATGACTAAAGAAATGTCTTGAGTACCTAAGAAGCTATCGCACCCACCAACGTGCCACTTCAATCGGATTTGACCTATGAAGAAAAGCCAATTCGAGTATTAGAAGAGATGGAGAGAGTAACAAGGAGTAAGATTATTAAGTTTTATAAGGTGGTGTGGAACAATCGCAGTGAACAAGATGCTACGTGGGAAAGAGAAGATTATCTGCAAGAAGTTTATCCCGCCTTTTTCCAAGAATGGTAGGTCTTGCAAATCTCGGGACGAGATTTTTATAAGGGAGGGGCAGAACACCTCGGGTGTTAGCTTTGCATAACTTGACTTGCATAACATGAGCATGAGCATCAAGCATTCATAAATCATCATTTACAATTGAAACATCTGATCGAAACATATGAAACATTGCTTGTTATTCCGTGTTTCTTGGAATATATGCATATGATCATATGTAAATAAATGCTAGTGTGTAATGTTGGTCACTATAACACCTTAGCTACACTTAGATTAACAAAAGGAACCTTGTTCATGAAGGCCACATTTCATGATCAAGCAATTAAGCGATATTGCATGTGTTGACTGAATAGCTATATGAGTGACTACTACATTAATTGCTTAAATGACCTTGCAAATTGTTTAAACATGCTTAGGATATCATTAGGAACAACTTTGGTATTTAGTGCTAAGGCTAGTTTGGTCATTTAGCCATGGTTTGAGTATGTATCATGTTTTCAAAGTGACATGTTTGACTAAAGTTGAACTAGGTGTTAGAGACCTTGCATGGAGGAGTTCACTAAAGCAAAGTTGTAGTGTTTGACATAAGGAACAACTTTTATTTTTATGTCATGGACTAATTTAGCTTCTAACATGTTTGAATTGGACTCACAAAAATCAGCTTTTCAACTGTTTTCAACACTTCAAAAATTTTCTAAGTGTTTGCTCACTAACACTGACAAATGGGACTTTGGAACGAAAATAACTTTCGAGTTTGGTCGAGTGTTGGAGCATGATCCTTTAATAACATTTGTAGCTGGTACTTAGGACTACGAAAGTCATTTAGATCATTTACGAGTTGGAGCCACGGATTAGCAGGTTAAATCAACGAGAAAACTTCGTCGTCGAGCTCGACCATTGCGTTTACGACTAATCAATCACGACGTCAATGGCCGACCGACCGGCTTCGACATCATCGCATGCCGTGTCCCCGCGGCGACGGCATAGCGTCGCCAGCGCCTTCGACCACAGAGAAGCCACGCCACGCCGCTGGCGCGCCTTCATCACCGCCGACAAGACTCACCGAGTCGCCCCAGCTCCCATTTCCCTTCTGGCGTCCCTTCTTCCCTCACAGCGGCCGCCGGCGCCAGCAGCTCCGCCGTCGCCATAGCCATAGCGCAGCCGCGCCTAGCCACTCCAAAGACCACCACCAAGCTTCACCGTCTTCTCGGCGACCCACCGCTCCCTTCCGTGCTCACCGACCAAGCTTGGTAAGCCATTGCTGCGCGTTTAAGCTCACGGAGCTCACCCAAGAAGCCCGTCCACCGTGGCGGGAGCGCCTGATCCACCTCTCCATGCGTTAGCTAGTGCGTCGAGTCGCGTCTTAGGTAGCTTATGCTCGTCCAAAGCCTCGGATCGGGCCACGAAAGTCGTCACCGGCGTATTGCCGTGGTCCAGCTCAGCCGCCGTTCCGCCATGGCACGCCGATAGCTCTAGGGTCGGCAATAGGTCCATCCTGCGGTTCGATGAGGTTCGCCGAAGTCGTATAGGTCATACTGGTGATGACCTCACCACGGCTGGCTTCGCCGTCGACGAGCCGCAGCCAGCAGAAGGCCCAGCAGCCGCCGCTGCTGCCTGCTCCGTGTGTCATCTGACAGCGTGGGGTCCCCGACCAGGCAGGGTCCCACCTGTCGACGACAATGATAGTGAAGGCTAACCCATTTTGAATCCAGCTTTTGATTTGTTTTGTGAAATTTGTATCTTCAGTTTGGTAGCTCCAAAATTGTGAAATAAATATGGTTGTGTTGCTTAGGAAGTGTAGTATTTAGTAAAAATATGTTCTTGGCTTCCACAGTAGAAATTTCTGGAGATTTAAATAGGGATTTCAAAGGTGCTTTTGAATGCATTCAAATTTGTTTATTTTATATCAAGAGTTCCTGTGCTCCAAAAATTATGAAATTTTTGTGGTAGGCTATTCTTGTTATATATGAGCTGGGATAAAAATTCGAAGACCAGTGCATGTGTAGATCTATAGTTATAGATTTTTCTTTTATAAATAGTTAATCCTTGCATGAATTTTTATAAATTAATTATGAGTCCAAAATTCATGAAATTTGTTGGAGGTAATACTAGTACCATATGGATGTTAGGAAAAATAAGAAATCTGTTGCTTGACACTTTTCAATAGGATTTTCCATTTATGCTATTTCAAGCCTTGCTTCCCTATCATTTTTGTATAGGATGTTCTACTTAGTAAAATGACATGAAATTTTTATAGTAGTCCTTTGATAGCAGTAGTAAGGCTCTGTAAATTTTTGAGAATTTATTAAGCACATATGATATATATTTATTATTTAACCTAGATATTTAAATAAAATAATAAAGGCAATCTAATAAATAGTTTGGGCTTCACCATTATATTATCTTAACTATATTTGGTATGCTTAAACTGTTGGTAGGTTCTAGGTTGTCAAATTGTGAATGATTACATAAAGTAGAAGTATTCTTACTTTATATTGCATGTTAAATCATTTCTGGATTGATTCTAGAGTGTGAGGATTTGCATGTTGAAACTGATGTGTACTGTAAAAATGGTTAATAACAAAGTTGTAGAGAATTGGATAAGCTTTCCAGAAAGTCCTAGATCACTATTTTTGGATTTGTAGAACTCCGGTTATGAGTGAAACAAGTAGCTGCAGTTTGTGGCATAATCGATGCATTGTAGAAGTAGTTAAGTAATAATTGAGAAGAGATATGCACCTACTCAAACAACGTGATGCACTTGTTAACATGTATGCATTCGTAATACTTATACCATACTCATGCATCTAGGATCGGAGGAAGAGATCACGTTCTTTGGAATTCAAGAAGCGAGAGGAAGGAACCCTCGCAGGAGGATCCGCAAGCCATGAGCTCCGGCGCGTGGAGCGAACCTCGAAGAGCTTCCGAGTGTCCCACGACCATCGCCCTACTTCCTTTCTCTGAGGCAAGCCCCGAGCATTATAAGTCTCCTAGTAATTTACAAATGTTTACTTAAGTATTTATGATTGCTTGCATTAGGTTATAAGAGTTGAATGAAACCACTTGATGCATGTACATTCCTTGTCCGAGATATTACCCTTTAACCGGTATAGGTCCGAGGATCGAACATATGCTTAGCCATGCTCGGACCGGTAGAAGTCGGGTGATTTCCTGTCACCTGCGAGATATAGGTGGATACCGGAGCACGGTGGGTTATAATTGCTATCGTGGAAAAGAACCATGGTTAATGTAAATGTAGACCGGGCGGGATGTCGATAGAGAAGCAACAAGACATGGAGGTCTTGGGTGTGGATCTATCCCGTCTGTGTCGATTAAGACCGTACTCGTTGTTGGTGCTTCGACAAGATTGAACGCATGCCTCTCACTTAGCTGGCGGATAACTTCGTTCCGACCGCTGGCCGCCGAGTAATTCAACTCGGTAGGGAATCGCTCACAGCGCTGCCTCCTTAGGAACGACGATCGAGCTCAAGGCAAGTGCTTGGCTTCGAGCATCCCATCATCCGTGTTCCAGATTATCTTGTGGCAAAGATCGGACCCATGAAATGTGTACGGAGTTGTACCAAAGGTGACCTAAGGCTATCGTGGTTTGGTAGACACAGGTTTGTGTTAGGAATAAATTCCCACCGGTTGAAATCGATTCGAATCGCCGTCTCTCCGGATAGTGAGAAACTTGGCTAGTCCCAACATCGTAGTAACTGTGTTATGGAACATGATGGTTCGTGACGAAATGGAATTACAATACTTGCTATGGTTACTATTGTATGCTTCTAACGGATATACCACATGTTTGGCATAGGATACTTGCTAACCTAGAAATGAATAGTTATAATTAACTTGGTAAAGAATTAGTAACTATACCATGATTTAATTGCTTTTACGCAAAAATGTTGTCAAGTTACATCCATTTATACAGCCTTGCATAATCCTTGGAGTCACTTTTATTTTCTGGTTCATGACGGGTAAGTCTAGCTGAGTACCTTCTCGTACTCAGGGTTTTTTTTCCCAATGTTGCAGATGGCACTGTGTATCATGGTTATTGCAAGAGTTGCTTCTATCCCGCTGTGGATGAGGAGTAAGCCTTGGGCAGGCTTCTTTAGTAATTCCTATCCTTGCTTTTGTGGACCGTGATCTATCTTGGCACTGTATCAAACTATGTTGGAAACTTTATTTTCGAACTTAATTGCTTCCGCTTTATTTATCAAACTCGGTTTGTAATAACGTTTATTCGTACTCTGATGATGAAAAGTATCTATGAACTTTATGTAATATGTGGCATGTATGTTGAATCCTGTACGATCTTGGTTGTTGTAAATCGTTTATCGAGACCCGTCGTGGTACTCGACGGACTACCGGGTTTATATGGGTTCAAGTATGACAGTGCGGATTGCCATTGTACTTGTATTCTTATAAATTGGTCGGTTCTGTGACAATTCATTCTGTTCTTGAAACATTCTGTTCTTCTTGATCTGTCAGTCTGTGGTTAGTTCATACAACTGTTAATATTGTTGTCAGTCTGTTCTTGACTAATTCTGTTGTTGATTTCATTACATGCCAGTCCTAGGATGGATTCAGGTGCATTTGAGGGTGGGTTTGTTGCTGGTACTTCAGTGATGGAGCAGCTCATCAATGGTGGTTCTGCCCCTGTTGTAGCTGGTGCTGGTGCTAGTGTTGCTGCCCCTGTTGCAGCTGGTGCTGGTGCTGCTCCAGGTGCAGCAAACCCTGTTGATGTTGCTGCTCCTGTAGCTGGGAATGGGGCTGTGCGGGCAATGAGGTGGACCAACACCATCTCTGGCTTTGTGCTAAGGAGGATGGCTACCCTTGTTAGTGATGGTAGCAGGCCTGAAAAGGTTTTTAAGGACAAAGATGCGAATTATGTGGCCAAAGCCCTCAAGCAGTTCTGTGGGGAGGTTGTTAGCCCAACTCAAGTGTACAACCACTTGAGGAAGTGGAGGCAGAAATAGGCTAGGGTGAGCAAGTTGAAGGACCTTAGTGCTGCTCTTTGGGATGATCAGGCTCATGCTATCATGCTTGAGCAAGAGCACTACCTTGGCCACTGCAAGGTAGCAGTTTGATCTCGTCTTTGCCTTGACTACCTACATTTACCTTTCTTAAACTACATTTACCCAACTCTACAGGACCATCCTAAAGATGCAGAGTTTCTTAACTGCCCTATTAGGTTCTACACTGAGATGGAGGCTATCTTTGCTAATGCCATGGCCACAGGCAAGTTTGCACTTGGGTCTGGTGAAGCCTTAGGGCAGAACCAGGCTGACAGTGTTGGTGCCAAGGCTGATGGTCCTCCTTTGACCCACACCACAGTTCCCAGTGAATAGGGAGGGGATAGCAAAGCCACTGAATTGCTTCCTACCTCCTCAGCTGCTGGCCCAAAGAGGAAGAGAGGGAACTTCTCTGAGGAGGAGATGCTCATGTTGACTAATATGTCAGATGCTGTGAACAATGTGGCCAATGCTCTTAGGAAGACTGGACCTGCCCATGTTGATGTCAATCTGTACCTTGTTGTGATGGAGATGCCTGGCTTCAGTGAGGAGACACTTATTGTTGCCTACACCTTCCTCCTGGACAACAAGGCCCAAGGTAGGGGCTTTGTGAACATGAGTGATGCCCACAGGGCCCTTTGGCTTAGGACCTTCCTGGTCAAAAACTACTATGTGTAGTTACACTACACATGAAGGGCTAGAAGGCCAGGAGGAGATTGACTGTAGAGATGTATAGTTCCTCCACCTCCCTCACCCACTCTCTCTTCTTTTGACAACAGGACCTTTTGTGCAGTCTGCTTGTTCTTTTGACACCTGACATTGATGGTGTAGTTTGCCTAGGAGGGTGGCTAACAATAGGTAAGGATTTGGGAACATTTGAGCCCTTGGCTGTTGGGCTCAACTTGGTATTATAAGAAACTTATTTGTAGCCTTTGTTGGCTGCTTTTTATTTGATAACTAGTTGCCTATTTTTGTTGTTTATGCCTCTGGTGGTAACTGTGGGATTTAAATGCTTATGATGCATAAAAACAAACTTGAGGTGGCTACCTTATTCTTGTTTTGATGGTTTTGTTGTTGTGCTTTCTTCTTTATTTGACTATCCTTCCATTCTACACTTATGCTCAGTTGTACTCCACAGCAACAACATCCTCTTGTGATGGCTGATGGCAGTGAGTGCAACTGTTGTTTATTTGCCTCTTTATTTGGTTCTTACAATTCTTGGTAGCCACCAATGACTAAACAAGGAAAATAACAGCTGAGGCTAATTTTTTTATCAAGATGCCGATAATGTTCACCATCATTCAAACTTAATGGTCGACTGAGGCATGTCATTCAGACCACTTACATGTTCTACATTTGGTTGGTTTCAGAGAATGCCTCCCTGCTATGTGGTCTTTGAAGGGAAGAAACCTAGGATTTATTTTACATGGTATGATTGTGCTAAGCAAGTGCTTAGGGAAGAAGAGGCTATCTATCAGAAGTACAACAACTATGATGATGCTCTTAGAGATTTTAATGCAAGGGTACCTCAGAGAACCCTTGTCTTGCTTACTAATTCATGCCCCTCATGGGGATGCATCAACATCCCATGAACTGTGACAGTCAAGGTTCTAAAATCTATCCTCATTCACCGGGCTGCAAGGTTGTTGCAAAATGTTTGTCATCTTGATCTTGTTTATGGTTGTAGTTGGTCTGTCACTCAAGCTGTTCATGTGCCACAGCTGTTGTTTTAATTAGACCGATGATGACACAATAGGTCAGTATTAGCGGCTACATGCTTTCTATTAACTTGTTGCCCTTCTCGGCTTGCCAAACTGTTAAATGTTGTATTTTGGCCAATGATGACACAATGGATCGATGCATTAGTGCGGCTACATATCATTTTGTGCCTCTTATCATTTACATGAACTTTTTTGTTTGTTGGCTTCAAAACTTGACTCGACCCATGCTTACATTTCTTCTTTCTTGACTTTGATTATCCCATGTAGCCGTAAATGTCATGAATTGTTAAATTAGCATGTCCGAGGCCAACTATTTCATGCTAAAACTTTGATTTGTTGTTGTAACGGATTATGAAAGAGCAACCTCATTCTCCTTTCATTCATGTCCATTTCTATTTGTTGTTATGGGCTGGCCGACCACGTACCAAAATGACAAACACTATCTCGATGTGGTAGTTGGTGGCGGTTAGCCTCACCGGCCCACCGCCTCTTCGATGACAAACACAGTCTCGTCTGAGCCGGGCTCACTTTGGGTACACAGAGCGCAAACAAGAGTGTTGCACCACTTGGGACAAGCTTTGCCCGAGCTGGGCGATTAAATTTGCCAGGCCGGCCAGTCTGTGGTCGCAACACGCGCCTTAACGTTTTTGAGGTCGCTTTCGGTCGAGATCTGCGAGATGCGACTGCACCAAACCCAAATCAACCAACCAACAATGTTTTCCTCTAAAAAAACAGCACCAGCCCCAACCAGCGAACAGGCCCCATGTGTACTACATGGATGTCTGTACACACTCGCGTCAGTAATTTAATCCTCCCCTCTCCCCGTTTCTACACCCCTCTAGAACGAGCGGAGGACGAAGCAGTGAGAACGGGAGCAATGAGGAGCAGGGGAGGCCAGCCCGTTGCTAGTTGGCCGCGCGCGTCGGGCATTTGTTTGTTTACCTCGGGATGGGATGGGATGGGATCATGGGCGATCAGCGGGAAAGAGAGTCTAGTCTGTGTGCGCGTACCCAGGAGGCCTATGCTGGGGCCTCGGGGTCTTTTTGGCATGGCTTATGTCAGCTTCGGCTTCATCTATTTTACGTAAATCGAGGTATTATAGCGTGAAACTGTTTTGTAAGCTGAGGTTAAAATAAACCAAAAGCTAGAAAAAACCCGTTTTCTGGCTTCACCGGTGCCAAAGGCGCTTTAATATTTCCCCCGTGTCCGTCTCCGTCAACAATTCCCCGTCGGCCGCTTCGCTTGCTTATCATCGCCTCACCCGGCAAGGGCAGGGCCAGCCGCGAGAGCAAGCTCGATCACCTCGTGCCGAGGCATCAGTCAGGCGCAGCTCATCTATATAAACGCGGGCCTCTCTCCTCACTTAAATCAAGCACCCAGTGTTAGCTCCGCAGTCCGCACGCGCACGGAGGGAAGGGGGAGAGGAGCGAACGAGAGGAGCAGCTGCGGCTGCGAGCGGGGAATTAACGCCAGACGGATAGGTGGTAGAGGTAGAGAGAGAGAGAGAGAGAGAGGACGAGGAGAGGGGAGGTTGGCGAGAGAGCCGAGAGCAGGTTGCTAGCAATAGCATATATAGGCAGAATAGCTCGGGGCCGGCCGGCGCAATGAGGTCGTGGCGGCGGCAGAGCGTGGTCGCCGCGGTCGTCGTAGCGCTGCTGGCTGCGACGTGGTGCGCGGCGGCGGCGCAGGCGCAGCTGAGCCAGAGCTACTACGCGTCGACGTGCCCCAACGTGGAGACGCTGGTGCGCGGCGCCGTCACCCAGAAGCTGCAGGAGACCTTCAACGCCGCGCCGGGCACGCTCCGCCTCTTCTTCCACGACTGCTTCGTCAGGGTACGTACGGTCCATTCCATTTGCATCCGTCAGTCACCATATGCGCAATCCAATCGATTAACGTCCCCCGTCCTGACCCTTCTCTTCTCGGTTCATTCCAATCCCAGGGCTGTGACGCGTCCGTGCTGCTGTCCGGTCCCGACGACGAGCACAGCGCGGGCGCCGACACGACGCTGTCGCCGGACGCGCTGGACCTCGTCACCCGCGCCAAGGCCGCCGTCGACGCCGACCCCAAGTGCGCCTACAAGGTCTCCTGCGCCGACATCCTCGCACTCACCGCCCGCGACGTCGTCTCCCAGGTACTCTACTTCTTCTGGCCTCTCATCGATTCATCCATCCATCCATCCAAGCTGCAGGTCGCAGCTACACATCCACGCCCCTCTCTTCTTCCTCCCAAGCCAGCTCCCGTATAGAATTCGTTGGCGCTGTCGTTTCTCTCTACGTCACTTTCGGCGCCACAGACGAACAGAGAGGAGGGGGGGATGGAAATGGAAACAAAAAAGAACTTGCTTTTTTCCAGACGGTTATGCCACTTTGGTCGATGGGGGATTAGCGACGGGGAGCTTACGCTTAAACCCTACGCCATTAGCGCACCATCGTATATAATAAACTAATAATTAATCACCGATGCTAGTAGTGCTTTGGAGTGGTTTCCGCCGCGCCGCGGGCAGGTCCCGGCGACAGCTATGATGAGGCTGACATGCCCCGCGGCCAGGCCACTGCGCCCGCGCGCGCATGGGCAAGGCGAACGACTCCGCCGCAGGCCGAAGCGGCAGTGCCTCGTCCACGTTGCGAGTCGCAATCACTGACCCTGAGCTGTGCCGCAATCAATCATCCTATCTAGTCCGTCCGCGCGCGTCATGTCCAGCCCCCCTGTCGTCTTCCTCCCCTGCTTCTCCCTGAAGAGAGCCCAGGAGGCAATCAGGCACGCCGCACGCGCAGAAACCTTTTACATACTCCTAATGCAAGCTCAACGAGGAGTTTAGGATCAGCACGAACCATTGAGGTGGCCGCAGAGAGGAGGTTCCAAAAAAGAAAAAGAAAAGTTCGAGTCCCGTTTGGCGCTAAAACAGGGGATTGGGTTTTGGGGGTGTGGTCCTGCCGTGTCCTGGTACTGCATCCTGTCGGAATTCTGCTGTCCCCGGCTCATTCGCTCGGAGCAACAGCACGCACGCGGTCCAGAGGTGGGACGGCGGCAAGGGCAAGGCATGGCGCGAAGAGGAGATGCGAATGCGATGAAGCCGTGGTGGCCTGGCCTGGACGGGGGGCTGAGCGCCGGTGTCACTGCTTGCTCTCGGCTCTCCCTCCTCGCTGGCTCGCTGCTGCCTGCCGGCCTTTGAATTCTTCTCTGACGCGAAAGCGGACACGGTTTGGCGGCGTAAATGAGCCGGTACGGCGTCGACAGATACGGGCGCCCGACACCTAATCCGCCGGGCCGTGCAGTATTGCACTGCCTGGAGCCCTGGACATGGACGGGCAGACCGGTGCTCGTAGAGATAGGTACACGGCTACGGCCATACGGGCTTTCAGCTATCGTGCCGAGCAACTCGGCCGAAGTTTCTGATGCTCGTATCCATATTTCGCACATGCGCGAAGCGTGCTGCTGGTACCGCGTCGGAGGACGTCGCAGCAAGCCGCTGTTCTCGGATAGATTTTGTTTGGGCACTGCACTGGTAAAAGATCTCACTGCCGGAGTGTACTTATGGTTGCAAACTTGAAATTGTTGATGCAGACGGGCGGACCGTACTACCAGGTGGAGCTGGGGCGGCTGGACGGCAAGGTGGGCACGCGCGCCGTGGTGAAGCACAGCCTCCCCGGCGCCGGCTTCGACCTGGACCAGCTCAACAAGCTCTTCGCCGCAAACGGGCTCACGCAGACCGACATGATCGCGCTCTCAGGTACGTCATCACGTCACGCCCGCCTCAACACATACGCCTCCGTAGTAGTAGTAGTAGTATACGATAGGAGGATAGCCTCCGTTCGGTTGGGTTGTCGAAAGCGCCCGACTGGTTCGGTTTGGTTGGCAGCTGCATGCGGTTGCGGTCGCGACGCCGGACGGCGGACGCGGCTCATCATTCCGCCTCGCCCACTCCGCTCACTCCCCTCCCTGCTGCTCACATTTGCT